GGAATCAGTTAATTTAGATAAAAATACAAGAATAATAAATAAATAAATCATAAGGAAAAACAAACAAACTACACTCTCCAGGATGGTTTATTATCTACTTGTTTTTTATGTGCAAGAAATTTAAAAGCTCTGGTAAAAATATATAAATATGAGTAACATATGCAAGTGCGTCACATTTTTGGTACGATCTTTCATGACTCAGTTTAAAAACGTGATTCTTAAATTCAAATTTTCGAGCTTCAAGAACTTAAAAACCTTGACCTTGATTACTTTCCTATTTATTATCATAAGTTCATTTTAAACGGAAGTACGACAGATATAATATATAAGTAAAGCGTTACTCACTCGCTGTGCAGACGGCGAAGAGCAGCTGCATCGAGTCGAAAAAGAAGAACATGATGAGCAGTGAGATGGAAGCTCCGAGGGGCAAACACAGGGCATGCATCGTGTCCAGGGTGGCGAACTTGTCCGCTGTGAAATAGAGATCTGAAATTTATAAAACATTCCTTATGCCTTTCAAAGGGATTGCTCAAAACATACTTGGTTCCTTCTCGACGGGTTCGCCGGTCAGCAGATTGGTCATCGATTCATTTCGCTTCTTCTGCTCCCGCTCGCGGGCCTCCTGCTCGATATTCAGGGACCGAAAACTACCGTACACGATCAGCAGCATCGATATGAGGCAGGTGGAGACCCGAGACGAGTCCATGACACTCGAGACCGTCCAGTGGAGTTCGTGGTATTCTCCACCGCCAGCTGCCGCTGCACCGCCTCCAAGTTGGCCGGCTCCAACAGTTTGGGCTCCCAGACCGCCACCGGCTCCACCGTGCGACATGCTCGCTCCGGATCCTCCGGATGCGCCTTTTCTATATCCCAGATGTCAGATTATAGATATCCCTTATCGTCGCCAGTCGGTTTGGTTGGCTCTCCGCTTATCAGTTGACCTGCGCTGGGGTTTATCACGTTTTTATGACGGCTGCACCGCTTCAATCTAAACAGAAATGAAAAGTGAAATTTTTGGTTTTGGGTTATTGATATAGCGATATCTTTTATATTTGCTGACCTTATCGTAGCGAACCCCCCTAGCTGTATCTGTTTGCCTTCTTGAGGTTATTTAGACAGCTGCAATTAGGTTTTTCGGAGCACACACTCCCAAGGTTTATTTTCCACCATGGCGCCTTAAGTCGAGCGCGGAAACCTTGGGGTCAACTTTCACGCACCTCACGAATTAGGCAATGGAAGTAAATTAGAACGCTACTCACACTCAGCAAAAATGATATAGGTATATAAAATCAAGAATCGTCAGAATTGCACTGCAAGGCCCTTAACTGCTTGAATTTTGGGTATTCGAAATAAAGACCTCTTCAAATTTTATCTTTAGAAAATCTTTATGAGTACTATTACTATAAAGTAGAAAAGAATCGAAAGTATTGTATAGTTTAAGCAGATAAAGCAAAACAATTTGGAAAACACGTTCATATGGTTTTCCCAAAGTTCCAATTTGGGAGTAGATTAACCAATGTTTTTTTTATTTATCTTAGTCAAGTATAAGTATCAATGATAAGGCAGACACAAAAGGCATTGTGAAATTCTTTTAAAAGACGTGTATCTGAACGTCCAATTTCAAGGTAAAATCAAATGTAATGAAAATAAAACTTTACTATTTGTTTAGTCGACAACCTTCGTAAAGTAAACTATAAGATTCCCTGAAAAATTGAAAAACTACATCAAACCGTTTAAAAAATGTTTACTTTACATTCTCCAAACTATTTTCAAATGCACACAGACCTGCAACGCACGTCTCATAAACAAACATATGGAGCGTCTATAAATAGAAATTATATTTTATTTCCCTCATTTCTTTTTTACAACGACTAATGCACCTTTCTTTTTCTAAAATCGAGTGAAGGAACACAGGAAAAAATGTAAGTGATTTAAAAATAATAGCAGTTTGTAATATTATTAATATAATTCGTAATATTTATTTTTTTGGGATATATATATATCTATTTCTTTATAAAATGACTTTCAACTATAAAGTTGTAATTTCATTAAGAACTTGAAAAGTATTCTTTCCTGTGTAGTCAAGCATAATAACAACAACCGGTGTGAGAAAATAACAGACTGTCCGCATGGGACTTACATGGAAGCAATAACAACAATTAACCGACAAGAAGAAGGCCGTAAAAAGCAGTTAAAATTGGAATAAATTATAAAAGCGTTACCCAGTTTTCCACGATGCCAGTTTCCATTGTTATTGCCACAAATTCTATAGTATTTTCACACATTTAGACATATACACCCACGCAGGGTTGTTGCACTTGGGAAATGTGAATGTTAATAACAGACGCTGTTATTAGAGCGGCGCTCTGCTAACTCGCTAATGACAGAGAGAGATAGAGCGGGATAGTTGCTAAATGACAATACGAAAGACAAAGCGAGAGAGTTGACAACTTCCTTGGACTGCTAATGTTGTTGTTGTTGCTCTCGTGTTGCATTAGTTGTAGTTGTTGCATGTTGCCAAGTGCCGTTGCTCGCACTAATTTATGTTGACTGTTGTTGGCGAATGTAAGTGTGTTTGTGTGTGGAATGCAAATGATTGAAATATATTTACAGCGGTGGACAAAATAATAGCAATCCCACAAATTGTTGACTTTTTTAACCTTAGCCGGTTTAAGTACTTTTACAGGTTAATTAAAACTCGTTTGTTCTGAAATATCGCACTTTAGGTATTTGTTTTACTTATTTAAAACTGGTTTTATCAAAACAAAACGATACAAATTGGGTTTTTACGTTTTAGTGAGTAAATGGAATATCCAATTATGGCGCTAATTATTTTGTGTAATTAGAAAATTATTAAATATTTGTATATAAATATTTTTCATAAGCAGCGCGACTAATATTTTTGACACAGCTGTTCTTACATGTGTGTACTTTTCATTCTGCACTTGTGTTGCAGCGTTTTCCCCTTTTTCTCTCCCTCTGAATGCAACAAATTAAGTTTCCCACACATTGCAATTCCAAAAGGGTGGCTGAGGAGGGGGAGTATTTGTTAACGAGCGCTAATTAGAATTAAATTATGTGGCGGGTGTAAAGTTACGCTCTCCAAAGTTGACACAATTTGCGGAGAATTTTCACAGTTTAAAGCGGTTACCGAACATGAGCTACATAATTAGCCAAACTCATTGAGAAAATGCCGCTCACATCACACCCATAAACACGCCGACAAACATACACACACACAGGCAAACACTTTCTAATTTGAAACGCCCCAAAGTGGGATACAAACATAAAAATAAAAGAAGTACCAGGCAATTGGCTTCGCTGTAACTGCCCACGACGAATGTGAAAGTGAAATTGGCCAAGATGCAGAGGCAGGGGGATTTCTCAGGGGGGTGTCTTGAGGTTCATAGAAAGAAATGTGCATTTTCCACCTAAAACAGGCTTTACCTTAAACTAACAGAAGAAATATAAAAGTAACTAATTTGTGTTTATTTCTGTTAATTAATACCAAAAATTATGATTATATTTTATGGGGAGGTCAAAGCCATTGAGTGACGACAATGTATTGAATCACTTATAAGAAACGTTTACTATTTTTGTGAAACAAAGATTAATTTTCATGACAAATTACTTATAATTTGAGTATCGAGTATTTTAAATATTCCTAATATCAATATGGTTTTTAACATACTAAAAAAGGGAGCATATGCTTCAAATTGTAATCCTTAAATATCAAATTCCAACAAAAAAAATATTTTCCCTATTTTCTAACCATTTTCACATAGAAAACTATAAAACAATCTGTAAGATTTCCATGGCTGAGGCTACCAATTAAGTTTTAAAGTGCACTGAACGCGGAAAGCATAAAAACAAGTGCGTAAAGTGGGCGCAAAGTTTTTCTTTTATTATGCAAAAGGGGGAGGGGCCGTGCGCTTTGGCAGAGACTGGCTTGCAGCGCTTGAGAAATCTCTTTATGCCAACTATTCGACGACTTAGCCTGCGCTTTAAGGTTCTTTCCCCACTTTTTTTCCGCTTCGTGTTTGGTTACACTCCACTTCGTTTTCATTCCGTTTCATTTCCATTCCACAAAACTCCAACTTCGCTCCACTGCGTAACAAAATTACAAGACACACACACTCACAATTGCACCGAGCAACAACAACAACAACGGCAACATCGTCGTGGAAAAGGGGGAAAATACTTGTCTTTAATTACAGCAAAGCAATCGGAATATTGTAAAACATACACATGAATGCACAGTGCACTCGATACTCCCCAAAAAAGTTGGGGGACTTTTTCGCTTACTTTGCTTCACATGCACATTCGCGTTTGGCTGTATTTTCCTTGGTTTTTGTTTTTTCCCTTTGCACCGATATTCGTATGCGCGATAAAGAAGATTGGCAGGGTGTCTGCTACATTTTCACGCGCTTTTCATTCTGTCCTGCGAGCCGCTTTCCATGCACATTTCCACGATCTTCGGCGGTCGCTGCTCCCAAACGTTAGACAGCCATTTTGCATTTATTTCTATTAGTAACTATTTCGGAGGAGAAACAAACAGTGGTCGTAAAATTCGTGGTGGGTGGTGGGGGGTACCGTTTTCATGGGGCCTTTCTGCGGCGCGGCGAAAACACTACCATGTCTTGTTAACAGCGGGGGAGATTTTCCAAACCGCTGATGGTAACATTATTTCTGTCCCCGGCGTATGCACAATTGTTGTCAGTAAAATGGGGAGACAACACCACCGTAAGTGTCAGCAAAGTACCGTTTCTGTGAAAAAGCGGGGAAATAAGAACGATTTAAACATTTCACGCTTTTTTTGCGGCGGGGGTACGATAATACCACGGAAAAATAACGGTCACATTTTGAAGGTGAAAGGTAGGTTGCAAACATCGCTAGGCCCTAGCAAAGTGATGCACCCAGTGTTTTTGGTATTCACATTGTACCACATTTTAGTATTTTTCGTCTCTATATCCCTTTGGTATATTTGAACGGCCCAGCTAACGGTAGCACTGATTCAAGATTTTTACATTCGGACGGACGCCTCGATGCACAAATAAAATTTAAAATAAATCGGGTGAAACGGCCAATCGCGCAAACAGTGGCTCGAATCGAAGAGTTATAATCTTGTAAAATTCGAAAAAATCCGAAAAATACAGTGCGTTTATTCGGGGTGATTTGGGAAAGTGTGGAAAGGCGGAAAAGTGCAGTCGATACTGCAGTTCGGGGTTCCTTCGGAAAAGAGCATCTCCCAGTGGTTGACAAACCAGTTAAACCAAAGCCTCTTTTTAAGGAGTTATTCGCTAGAACCAACTAATCCGCCATGGGTCTCAACGCCTGCTGTTCGTGCGTCAAATATCTGATGGTCCTTATAAACATTTTATTCTGGGTATGTAGATTCCAGCAGCAACAACAACAGTACGAGATTTGATTATCTCCCATCACAACAACAACTGGAACACACGGACCTCCTTCATGCCAGCGTGTGTGTGTGTATGTGGGTGTTTTGCGTGAGTGTGTTTGTTGTGTATTCCCTATGCCCCTCTTTCTCTCGCTGGGCGTGGGGGCGGGGGGAGGGGCCGCGCGCACGCTCTTTGGAGTCCTACTGCTCTCTCTGGCCCCCTCCTTTCCCCTCTCCAACCGATCTTAGAGGTGCCCTAATCTAAACTAAAAACCTAAATAAATGGGAAGATACAAAACAAATCTTTAGCTAATTCAAGAACTTAACGTCTATTTTAATCATGAATTATGTTCTAAAAATATTATTGTCTATATATAATGCTTTAACTATGGTTGAATGGTCTTTAAAAGTTGCTTGAAATGTAAATGGATAACAAATCCAAGTTCAGTTAGTTTCTGTCTAAAAGGGCTAAATCTTATAAACAAATATGTTAATTATGATAACCTATTAGACTTTAACCAGTTAATTCATACAGTCCATTTTTAAGTATTCCAGAAATAAAATATCGATTGTTAATCTTAAACAGCAGTTGCTAAAGTCAAAACATAAGCATATATTTCTTCAAATTAAAAATACTTTAAGTCTAACCGTAAAAAAACATTTTATTGTTAGAAAATATTTAACTTTAAATTATTGTATGCCATGGGCAGCCGAATCTGTCTGTAAAAGGCCAATGCGACATCACTGATTGGCCCCCAATCTTGCTCTCCCTCTTCCCCTTTCTCTCATTCTCTCCATCGCTGAGTAGGGCTCTCTGCTCCTTACTCCCCCACAAAAACAATAGAAGTTCCGTTGTGGGAGGAGAGTGAATGGCACACACACAGGCACACCTCCGCACACGCAGACAGATAAACATTTAAGCATCTCCCTCCAATTTTCCCCCACTCCCTCCCCCTCCCACTGCTTTCTTTCTTCTCCACATGTTTGTTCAGTTGTTTTTCTTCTGCTTCTGTCTTTTCCAGTTATTTTTTCTCTTTGTTTTATTATTTTTATAACGTATACGTGCGTTTGATATTTTTACAAACTTCGACAGGCTAAATTTGGTAGGAAGGACCCCGTTCCCCAAAAAGGGTTACGTATTTCCTTCCCCATCTTATCACCTTGTTGTTTTACGCAATTTGTGACTTTCAACATCGCCCCGTTTGGCTTTCAATTGTTTCCATTCAATTATTATCTGCCACTGCGATTGTTTGTGTTTGTTTTCCTCGAGTTTTTCTTCGGGTTTTCCTCTCGTCTTTTGCGGCTTGCGAAATCAGTTTCTTTTTTTTGTTTGGGCAACAAATTTAAAATTTTGATTCTAATGCGGGTGGTTTTGGTCTTTTTTCATTTGGTTTGTTGATTGTTGCTGCCTTTTTCGATTTCTGTCTATAGTATTTATTAGTCAAAAGCTATTTTCGAATACGGGCGAAAAACAACAAAAACTAACGCGTCCGTTCAGTTTTTCTTTGTTGTACACGGAAAGAAAATGTTTTTAAATATTTTTTGGGATCTCAGTTTACTGAATTTCTTTCTCCTTTAAAACATATCTAATTGTATTTATTTATTCTTAATCCTTATCCTAATTCAAAATAAAATTTAATTTAAAACACCAAGAGAGTATACAAATTATACACTAAAATGTCCTTATTTTTTCAGTGTAATTTTCCTTGATTGTTGTTGCTCGCTGCACAGTGGTATGTGTTTGATGTATACGGCGGCAAAATGAGTGATGGAAATTGTGATGTGGTTGTGATGCAGTTCGTTTCACTAATGGGATGAACTATTTTTAGATCAATGTTTGAATGAAAATGCGTCAGATATTTATTTATATTGATGTTAAAAGATCCAGTCATACTTTGATTTGAGGGTATTTTTGGCACTTCGGAAGTAATCAGTCAGTCTAGAATTCATTTTGGTTATTTTATGATTTCATTTTCCACTTTAATGTTGACAGAATAAGTTGAAATAGAGTTCTAGCCCATTTTTAAAGTAAAACCACTGTACAAATTGTTTTAAATCAATCCCCACTGTGCATCGGTTTCAAAACATTTCCATTTTCATCGTCGCTGTGGGGCATCGTGATCAAACGCCACGATCTCTGAGGACGCTGACGTTCCAATGAGGCCGATATCCCATCGGATCCAAGATCCACGATGCCGGGGGAGGCCTATGCCAAAAGCGTCTAAAATGCTAAATTGCGCTGTCGTCATTGAAGTTGACAGTGACCAAAATCGAAATTTTTCAAATATTCCGCTGGCCATCTGACAAAACTTACATCTTGTCCCGTCGTATAATGTCCTCCTACTAAAAATGAATTTACTTACAGTAGGACTTCCTCAAGAAAAACTATCTTAACTTAAAATTAAAAAGTTTGAAATATTTGAAAATTGAAATTTTCTGTAGATATGTATATTTATTCTTTAGTAAATACATTTTAAAAGTTTTTAAATACAAATATTTGAGTTTGAATCTGGCCTCTACATATATTTTCAATCTGCTTGCACATAATTCGCTGTGCTATTTTCCACTCAATTATTCATGAGTGGCGCTTCATTCATTTTTCATATTCAGTTTGTATTTTCAGTTTGTGAGTTGCATGATGGCCTGACGGCGGCAATTTGCCATCGATGCGGTTAATTCTGGGCCAAAACTGCAACTGGACATGCAAGGCAACCCAGCTGCCTTTTCCCCCCCTCCCTTTATTTCTTTTTTGAGGAGCAACTTGTCGGCAGGAAAATGCTCTCTCGTTTTCCGCCTTTTGACGCCTCGGCTCCGAAAACTGGGTCAACGAAGGACTCTGCACATTTATTGGCCCATTCGGCAGACATTCTGTTTGTTTGTCATGGACACGCGACATAGTGTCAGATGGCGTAGAGATATACATATATAGGAAAACGTACGGGGAATCGTAAAGTTCCAACAAACTTGGCTACAAACAAGGCGTGGATTCAATTCGGTCGGGGAAAATGGAACTGATTCGAAATGGGGTCAACCTTTGTTCCTTAAAAGTATAGGAATTTAAGTTTGGCACATTTCTGAAAGCTATCAGGATATTAAACCATCAAAAAAGCTTTGTGGGTCTATTCAATATTTTAGACATTGCGTTCCTTTTTTAAACAATGTTTTGAATGTATTACTTTTTTATGTTGATTTAACAACTCTTTTATAATAACTCTTCCACATTCCTATCTTTTACTGAAAACTCCATAGATTATTTTACAAAATTCTTCCTCAGAAAATGGTTTATTGTTTCAAAGTATGTCGTTTGGGTTGTGGATGTTACTCAATTAACTGCCCTCGTATGGTGCAACATTGTATTACGTTTCCATGAACAGTTTTTCCGTTAGCTGCACACACATTCACACCCGTGAACTTTTGGGGCAGCATATCGTGCACTCTGTGTGGCACACTTTTTGTCTCACTCACTTTTTTGCAGCTCACTCTTTCGTAGACCACCCACATAAAGCCGGTCTTTGCCTCTCTTATATTTCTTTCGATTTTCACGAATTTTCCGGCTGCGTTTGCTTACTCTTTTCCACGTTTCAGCTTTTCCTGGCTCTCAGTAAATGTCTTTGATTTACCTTGGGCGCCAAAAACGAACCAATTAGCCATTTCTACTATAGAACGTATCTTAAAAGTGGTTTTTACATTTAAGAGATCTTTAAGAAGTATCGATTTGTTTATCATTTTTTAAATAAGAGGATTTAACTAGTTACATAGATATTTGCTAATTGTTTGTTCTAGTGCGTAATCTTATCAAGAAGCCAAGATGCTGGAAATGATCCAGTTCTCTTGGCAATTACGAAACATGTATAAATATTAGATAAGATTTGTTTTGAATTTTGAAATGCTTTTAATTTTGCCTTCGGTTTTTAAGAGGTTCTATATTTACATACTTTCCCATATAATATGTGCACTTGTTTACATCTCTCGATTAGTTCTCATCGCACACTCAATTTCCCTGCAGTGAATAATTTAGCTGAATAATTAATAAACTGGCATAGACAATGTGATGCCCCAGGCCCAACCCATTAAGTCATTAGCTCTTTATTAGATTTTCTCACTCATTGCACGACCGGAAATTTAAATACAGCATTTTTCTGGATGGTTGGCATTGGCACAGGCGACTTAAGTTCTTAAATTTCTGAGCAGAAAACCTTAAGGGAAATAAATAAGAAAAATTCCTCTAGCGCCAATTCAAACAAAGGTTCGTATTTCGTTTGCTGATAACCCGAGGAGGGAGATAATAGGAGCTTGCCATCTCGTATTCTCGTTGGGATCAACGGCTTGCCATTTCTATATATAAGTACAGTGTGTCTTGGCTATGAAGGCTGAGACTTAACTTGTTTGGTGAATTTTGCCTATTCGCATCATTAATTTTGGAATTTAATGGAGCGCTTCTTATGGGTTTTTAAAAGTTTAAGGTTCCAAGTACAGCAAGAAATAAATTTAAAAGAATGTATATTATAGAGAATTTGTGTATTACTGTATCTGCCTTTGTTTTTAGTTAGCTTAGCCATTATTTAATTAAATTAAAAGAAGCCAGGGAGCACAGTACAAATTTAATTTAACGCTTGCAACTTAGCTGACATCATAAGTTGGAAACTATAGAACTCAAAGGGAATGAAAAACTGGGGCTGGGCAGTCTCCCACTTTAATTGCCGCCCCGCCAGATGGCGTCATTGACGCGTGTTCCCCGTGGTGTTGAATGCAACTATTAGGGAATTACAGAGAAACATTTGTGAAAATGAGAAATATACTCTACCATACATTCTATTTTTCTATTACAGCTCATCGGCCTGACCATCGTGATCACCTCTGTGTGGATGCTGACAGATCCCACATTCATGCTGTCGATGACACAATCATACCATCACTATCATATAGCCCTATACGTCTTCCTGGCCATTGGAATACTGTCCATATTGGCCGCGTTCTTTGGCTGCTGTGGAGTCTGTCGGGAGTCGCAATGTATGCTGGTTTCGGTGAGTAAAAAGTTCAGTAGGGTATAATGTACTATTTAGTACCAGTGTCTGGGAATTCCAATTAAAATGGATGCAAATGTGTGGCCCACACTGTTCCGTTCGCATAATTGCAACGGAGGTTCGCCCACAATGTCTTGGCAGCTCTGCGATAAAGTCTGCACTTGGCAAAAATGCCCAAATATTCAGAAATTTATGTGCATAACTAATGAGCTTTTAAGTGTCTGAGCTGAATGTAGTAATAATTCAGTATATGTTTGTATCAATATGTAAGATTATGATTTTTGGTACATTTATTTGGATTGAGAACCTACCTACTTAAAAAACTTTAAAGTAAAATTGATTAATACAATAGTTAAATGGTTTAACAAAATGCAAACAAAAGAAAAAAATCTAAAATAAGTTCTTATTCAAAGTATGGATAAATTAACAGTTTTGGCATTTTTTGAGTGTCTTTCACAGTCATGGAGTTCTGTATTCCGAGTGCGAGTTATCTTTCTTAAATCTTAAACCGCTGCCAGTTTATTTACTCAACGCCCACGGGCCTGTCGCACTCCGCCATTCATAAATCTCGATTTCCCATTGCAGTTCTTCTGCCTCATACTCATCGTGATGGTGGCACAAATTGCAGCCGGAGCCTGGGCATTCCACAACAAAGACAAACTGGATGACATCGTGCGGGCGGCGGTCAAGTCGTCGGTTCAGGAGGAGTACGGTCAATCCTCGATGAGTTCGCGCACCGTCACTTTCGATACCCTGCAAAAGAATGTAAATATTTGGACATGTTCGCCATAAACGATTTATGTGAAAGTATTTATTTGTTTTCAGTTGCACTGCTGCGGTGCCGATGGACCTGGCGATTGGGCCACCAGTCGCTTTAATAATGTGGATCGCACAAATATTGTGGAGATCGCCGTGTCTTCCATGAATGTTTTCTATAACATACCGGAATCCTGCTGCAAGGACAATCTGAAGGACAACGAGTGTGAGCTGTCGCGACGGCTGAAATTTGGTGGTCCACTGAACAACGCCATTTATCAGCAGGTAATTAAGAGGTTTTAGGGAGTCATATTAAAAGGTTGTGATCTATCACAAAGGAAATAGTTCCAAAAGGACCTAAAAATCCAAAAGAAAACTTGCTTAATAATACCCAATGACCAAAAGAAAAATAGCGAGCTTATATTTTTATAAAATTGAGTCTTACGACACTTCCTAAAGTTAAGGACGTATTATACAATGAAAAAAGATTGATTCATTGAGATCAAAAAAATATTGTTTGCTGACTCACGTAGTGGTACATTTATAGTATCTTTTGCTTCTTTGTAAAATCCCTGGATTGACCATTCTTTCGACGCTCGTTCATCGATTCAATGAATTACCGAAAAACCATCAAAACTCAATTGATAGGTGTGTCCGAATCGTAATTTCTTGGCCGACCGATCACTATCGCCGTTTCTGGCCATAAAAATTAATAATCCTTTTTTCTGCGGTCTGCTGGCTCTCAGCGCCTGGGTTAATAAAAATTCACGCCCGCCAATGCGGAGACGATAAAAATGTATTAATTAATATTGATATTCAATACGCATTTCAAACTTCTGTGTGGGGTGTTTGTACGAGTAGATCCAGTAAACAAACTGAATTGAAACCGGCGGCACTTGTATACAAACCGATTAATGAGTTTATAACTTATTATTTACAGGGCTGCGTGGACAAGCTGATTGAGATCGTTTACGAGAACTGGGTCACCCTTTTCGCCATCACCGCCGCTGTCATTCTGCTGGAGCTGGTGTCCCTGACCTTCGCCCTGAGCCTCTGCTGCGCGGTGAGGAATCAGCACTACAAGGCCTGAGAATTACAGAACTCCCATAGGGAAATCACCGACGATGAGAAGTACTAACAAACCAAATCGAAACGGATGCATAGCGAGCGTTATTACTGAAGACGTGTGTGCGAATGGGGGAAAAGCATTTAGCGGCGAGGGCTAGCGAAGATAATGTCCGGTGTTCCCTGGTCAATACTTTAACAACAACAACACAACTGACAACAACACAATTTTGTAGTACTTTTAACAACAAGACAACCGAAAACAACAACACGGGAAGCTGAGCAATTGTATTTGAGACGTAAGAACTTTTTGGAATTTGTGGAATGTTTTTGAATCACAATATCCACAGGAGTCTCGGTATCGACTTTATATGAACTTGATATGCCAGCAGAGCAAAAACAAAAACACTTTTTTAACAAAATATTTCTACCACAAAAACAAACACAGACAGTAAACAACTCCATGTATGTGAGAACAGCATAAGCAGCTTCATAATACTTAGCCTAGCGAAAAAGTTTCGAATTCATAGATACATACTATATATTAAATATATAGATCAAAGCATAAGCACAAAAGTATAATGTTAAACGCCAAAACCAATGGAATAATGTAAAAAAGAAAAGCAATCAGATTTCTTTTAATATTTATTTCCCCCGTATAAGACTTTGGAATCGATTAGCAATTTGGTTTTATCTGTGGCCATTTCTGTATGCTAACACAATGCCAAAAGATATATGAATTCATATATACGTATGTAACGTATGATAACAGCATTCCACAAGAATGAGAATGATTGACAGATTTTTGTTCTGGTTAAACGCATTGCCATCCAAAGACCCAGCCCAAAATACATATTTTCAATTCACTTCTTAACCTTGTGCAAAATGTTGTGCTAAAGATCGAATACCGTTCAATTCGTAGAGCTTCGCGAAATTAAATGCCAAATATTTTATGTAATTACAAAATTGTAATTTAATTTATTTATGACCTATTTATTTGAGCATAAGCAAGGAGCAAAAGCAAAATGTTAGAAAGTATTAAGTAAGTGTTGGCCATTCTGCTGACAAGCAGCATTTTGTAAATTTAAAACTCATACTATCTACCCCCGAGCAGTAAATTGGTCCATTTTTGTATAATCCTACAAAGGATATAATCAGTTATTGATCCCTAAGAACTGCAGGGGTATCTAAATTAGTTTGAGTTAGTGTGGGCCATGCTATTAACTCGCAACCTTTAAAATCCCACACACTCAAAACGAACTTTTTCGAATCCAACTTACCTGCATCGAAATGTTTTATAATTTAGGAATCCTGGATCGTGCAAGGGAAAATATTTATGTTTGATTCCGACAAAGCAGCACAAAATGTTAAATGAAAAGTACACACGAACGAAACAAAAAGTCTCTATATTTACATTGTATTTTTACCATACACCATAAACTAATTAAAGGATATATATTTTTTGTAACATTTTCATTTTATTGTTGTTATATGTGAATTTTGTTGTTAGTTAAGCGTAGCCTGAACGTCACACTTTGTACCCCCTCACAACGTTTAAATAAATTAAATCTACAAAAACCAAATCCAAGGACAAAATTATATTAAATTTACAACAAGGAAACACAACAAATTAAAATAAATATATTGTATTTAAATTTACACACTAAAGTAAATTATTTATTTTAACATTTCTTAGTAAGTAGTTACGTGCGGAATTTCGTGAAGTTAAATCAAATAAATCAATAAAGTTCTAGCCTAAGATATAAACCTCATACCATTCACGTTCATCTGTTGGATTTGTAGCCAGACATTGGAATGTTTAGGAAATAAAATCTTCAAATTTAAATGTTCTCTAAAAATTAAGCAGCATTGAACGTAGCATATTTATAGCACAAAACTTCATCAACATCTAAAATCAAAACCAAAAATTTAATCTACTCTTCAAAAAAGAAATACAATCAACTCAGCATCTTCATAACAAACCAAACTAAATAGTTTGAGTGAAAATAAAAGGAACATTTAGCAAGGCATCTATCATACAATTGAGAAAATTAAGCAATATAAACGATGCTCAAGATCTGTATTTAACAACATAGTAACAACACAGAGGTGCAGATAATACTGAATCATTATGAATAATTGAGATACATTATAGAAAACAGCGGCATACAAACTGATATTTCAAATAAATAAACATACAATAAAAAATATTAAAACTTGGTTTGCTTGGTTTTGAAAAATGTTTTGTAGCCCACCTAAAGAAAAGCCATCAGAGAAGTACATAATTAAAGTGTTATTTTTATTAAAATTGTTTATCTGTTTTACTTTTTACCCATTTTGTTTTTGGGCATGATTTCAATTAAGTTTTCTTAATTTTCATTTAAATTATTTTAAGTGGCATAAGAACTGTTTTATTTTTGTCTGCTATTTAATTTTACTTTTTTGTTTATCAGACTAAAATCATAGGTTAAATCAGGTGTTTCTTTAACTGACAGTATTTAACTGAAGGTTAGTGGTTTAGCTTTTAACCATACTCTCTGTTTTAGTAAAGTTAAACATTTATTTGGAAAGTTGACAACAAATAGTTTAAAATTTTTGCAAAACTGGTAGGAGTAATGTATGTAAAAAGGAATTATCGGGTTTTTTAGACAATTAAATGAATTAATTTTACACATAGATGGATTTGTCATGTCGTATTATAGTATAGTTATTGTTGTATTATTTGTTAATAAACGCTTAGAGGGTTTTCCTATCATTTACTTATAAACAATCCAAATCACTAACCACGTTTCCTCTTGTTAAGTTTCCTTTCATGTATTATAGCGTAAATCATTTATTTAGATAACTTAAAGATTTAGGTTCCAGGATGTTCTGATGAAAATAATAAACATCTTGGGTTTCTTTTACAAATCGCTTAGGCTGAAAAATTATTATCATAATTTACATTTACTATAGGTACATTTGGATTAAATTTAGTTTCAACTAAATGCGAATTAAACGTAGTTGTAAGGTAATGCTAAAAATTAGTTACTACTCGTTAGTTACACATATATTAAGTTCTGGTACCGGAAACCGACTTAGATAGCGATTTCGATCCCCAATCCATCTAGCTAGTAACAATTAAACGTTGACTTCGACATAGCATAGTGGATATTCCGTTCGAATCTTTCAAGACATTTAGCTGCTAAAACCGATATCATAACATTATCTTCCAATTCGGTTGGTTAAATAAATATCTTTAGTTTTAACATTAGGTATAAGCGTTTCAATTTCATTATTTATTTGTTGACTAGTTAGACACTTAGCTTTCCTCAATTCGGATGATAGGTTAATATCAATAGGTTTGCCTCTTCGGCACTTCTTTTTTTGGACAGTGTACGTTCATATTGCATAGATCGTTTCTTAAGAGTTAGAAATTGTGGGTGGTTTACCGAGTAGGTCGCATAGAGTAATTTTATTCAACAAAATGTTCTTTAACACATTTACTAATGCTAAGATTATTTGATGATGGAATCGCATAAAATGGCTTTGCCTTTTGATGGGAGTAATTTGTTTTTACTGATGGTACATTCCTTTTTTGGAACCCTGTCTGAAATATGGTGGAAATATAGTTAACAAAGTTGAAGCTCCGATTCAACCGAAATTAAATTATGATAGAATCTATATTAAGCCTTTTTATTTAATAATTACTGTTGGCAAGTTTTGAAACCCAACAATTAGATATTTTCTTGTTCTAGTACACAGTTAGCACATTTTAAACGACACACCTGCTAGGTTGAATATTTAAATAAAAAGGTTCTGACGTCAATAAACCACTGATTTCATTTCCTAATATTCTTCGCTTAAGGCTTTGTTTTCAATACAGAAATAGGTTTTTTGTTTAAAGCAACAATGGAAGAACAATGTGTACAACTAAACAGGAAATAGGAAATATCAAACCACATTGATTGTCTTGTCTTGTCGATGCACAATTAAGCATTCAATGTTTGTGTATGAGTTTTTATAAAAACCGTCTCTTTTTCTATATTATGTTACATTTTCATTTCGCTGCACAACTTTTGTCGTCTTTTCCTGAAGCTCCCCATTTATAGGTTTTTTTGGGGCTGATGAATAGGGGGGTTACTTTTGCGTGTAAATATATCTCCTGGCATGGGTAATTTAATAAAAATTTAATTCAATTGAAGATTCATGTTGTGAATTGCAGTTAACATTAAAAAATCAACACGGCCTTGTATAAATATTAAATAATCCGTAATTGTCAAGTGCCATTTTTATATATCGGTGGTTGGTCGGGCACACAAAACCCATACATTATTTATTCATGTGTTTATATAGTATCTATTTTTTGCCTTTTCAAACCGATTTATTGAGACAAATTGTAAATTCAATTAGTTGATGCAAAGCAAATAAGCACACACGTTCAAAATGGGTTTTATAGAATAATCGACAGTCTGAATTAAATTAATTTTTCGCTTGTTAATTATTTAATGCTTTAATTGACAGTGAAGAAAATGGCTTAAATGGCTTAAATTTTTAATAAAGCTTGCGGAAAATAAGGAAATCTGAAAAATCTTAACTAAAAACTCATTTAAGATAGTTCTTTTGGTTGGTAATATTCCATTTAGCTAAGTGTAAATTTATATTTAGTATTCTATTACTCTTTATGCATATTTGTAGTAAAGTAAATCGTGTTGAGAGCTCGGTTTCTCTTGTTGTCGGTATACCAATTCCATTCCTGAATCAAACATTGGTTTGGTGGTTTTGTTTAGTTTTGTTCTCGAAATTAAATTCATTTACACATTTAGTTATCGTACATATACATATTTATATAGTAAATACATATATAAGACCAATTCGCTTTTCACGGCAGGATTAAATTCATAATATGCTCAAAAAATTACATATTCTTTATAATCTTTATAATCTTCGTCGACCTCATCGTTAGTTATATAATAACACACTCATAAAGTTTAAAGATTCTTCCTTCGATATTTTGCCTAAACTAATGTTAATTACTAATATGTTTCATTTCCTCGTTTTCCATCAATTTCACTGGTGTTTTTGCATGCTTGTTTGGGTTCTCCTTCTGCTTTCTTTTTTTTAATATTTTTGTTTTTTTAATGGGGTTGTCAATTTCTTTGCGTTGCTTATTGCATTTAAAGATCTATAAGGGATATTATAGTCCTGGAAGTGCGTAGCCCTGGCTCAAGCTCGCCCTCTTGTCATCAAAGGTCGTTGTCGAACATTTGCAGCGATCGCGTTACCAAGTCGTCCTTCAGGCAGGCCTCCAAGAACTCCTCTATCGTTATAATGCCGTCCTGATTCAAGTCCAGTTTGCGGAACACACGATCGACCTGATCAATAAAAGTTGAAACAGATTTAGTTATAAGTGATAAAAATATATTTTAAAGAAATATTTTTGGGAGTTCTAATTTCCTACAATATTTACATGTACCAAAATGAAACCTTTTTTTAAATTGGTTCAAGGTTTGTGTTGTGAAAACCTGATCAATATAAATGAAAAATAAGTAAAATTTCATTAACCCCATTTTTCTTTCCTTTTATTGTTCAGCCTTTGGCTATCAGAAATCCTTTTCCAATTTAATCCCTCATTTCAATTTCAGCGACTTTTCGTTGACGTTTTCATTGAAGCATTATCAACGGGAAAACGCGAAACCTTCATCATTAAGTAAAATATCCGCTGCTGTTTCCGCACATGAAAGTTTCCGTTTTCCCTTCACTCGCCTTTCACCCAACAGCCGATGCAATTTCGCCTCCCATCCCTTGGATTCCATTTGTATCTGTATCTGCGTACTTCTGTGTGTTCCCAATCATAATTACTCATACGCACTGTGCACCGCACCGACTAACGTCAGCGGATGCTGCACGTTTCATGAAGTGTGGCTTTTGCATAAAAAATGAAGCGAAATCTGCGTCAGAGGAAGTGCGATGAATATGCGGATAGATATTTAAGCAGAAAGGCCTAGAACGTGACGCTCATTCGAGATAAACACGGATTTTGTTTTGCATTTGTCGCCACATGAATAAAGCTCTTCAGTGACATGAGTACAGCTTAGTACTTGAATTGTGTAAGCCAAAAATAACCTTTTGCCGAGGGTGTAATTTGGCAGAACAAACACTTAAGAAAATGAAAAACTATTAAAAACAAGTTTATGTTAAAGATGTCAAAAAGTATGCTACAATATATTTGTAAACCAAAAGTGGTACTTCATTCCTAAATACAGCGCTACTATTATATACCTTTAGACACCTTTGTAAGTAACTATAAGAACCTAGTTGTTTATTTTATTATAACAGTGTTTAAAAGCGTGCTACCACATAATTTTTACTTCGCTATATTTTTTATTGCATACTTTTAGACACTTTTATAAGTGATTATAAATTCCCAATGATTTCTTTGGTACCAGAGCCTAACTAAAATCTCATCCCAACCAATTCGTCGATAATAAAGATTGGAATATTTTTGAAATAAATAGAGGTTCTCCTACCTGATCCCTCGCCTTGCGATCGTCCTCAGGCTGATGTGGTCTCCTACCCATAAGCTCGTGAATGGCCAAGATGATTTCGCTCAGTTCGCCGCGACTGATCCTTCCGTCGCCGTTCAGGTCGTACAACTTGAAGGTCCAGCGCAGTCGTTCGTACACCGAACCCCTCAGCAGGGTCGACAAGGTGACCAGTAAATCCTAATAATCATAAATATGTATTAATAGGTGTGAAGGCCAAAGATTGCGTAAATGTTATTATAATGGGAAATAATTACCCGAAAACTAATGGCGCCATTGCAATTAACATCGAACGCTTTGAACACATAATGAGCGTATAAACTCGAATCTTTATAAATAGAAAAAGCAAAGGGGCGTGTCAGGGGGATTTTTATTTTCTTGTATTTCTTTTTTTTTGGCTGTTCGGGTATTTTGGGATATTTTGGCATTTGGGCGCAGCTGCTGCAAGGACGAAATGTTCGCTTAAATGGCGCTTTATGACGCGCAACTATAAAAAGGAAAGCATAAGACCTCAGCGACAGCACCCACATACACAAATACACACCCTAAATGGGGGACATTTATATACGACTCACAGTCGCACACACATTCTCAAATACTTACTGCCATGTGGAAAGAATTTGGCGTAAATATCCTTAAAACAATCCTCGTGCACCACGCCCTCGGGACATTCCTGCGAAAAAGGAAAGAAACCGCCATGAAAGTGTTTGCTCGGTTAATAAAGAAAAAGGCAAATGTAATGACACTGGATTCCAAAGGGGCTAAGAGGACTAGACCGCGAGGAATCTTGCATAACTTATGAGAGCTTTTGATTAGGAAGGTATTACCACAAGTTTGGTTACTCTTAAAATATAATATGAAAATTTATATATAGCAAGGACATCTAAATATTTAAATAATATAATTTACCAAAATAATACTTTTTTGATATTTAATTTACATTTAGTAAAGCATTTATACTACAAAAAGGTTCTAAAATTGTTCCATTTATAGTAGTTAAGAACTTAAGAATACAAGTTGCCAGTCAGCAAAAAAAGGGCAAATCATCATCGAGGTATCAGCGAGCAAAATGTCACAAAGACAAACTATCAATGGGCCAAACTGTCAATAGGGCAAACTCCAAGTGAGCCAAACGGACTCTGGCTCAAACCATCCATTTACTTGACCCCCAGCTCATCTCTTGTTGACCCACATATTGAAACTTTTACGCTGAGCGAGCCATTTTCCGCACTCTTTGGTGGCAAAGTGCTTGGACACACAATCGCTTACAAGCAGCGAATTCATTTGCAATGAAATTCAAAACGCGTGTGCATTAAAAGGACACCCATTCGAAGAGCTCTCCTTTTCACATCGCAACTGGCCAGCAAGTTGTCTTTGGATCATAAACTTGAGGGCTATATTTTTTGGGTTAAGTGGGTGGGGATGTTATGAAAAGAGTTTCGCTCCCGAATTTATGTCATTTATTCTGTCGTTCATTCAGTCATCGAGGGAAATTCACAGTAAAGAAATATTTTATGTAGACTTTCCTGGTATTATAGACTCTAAATTTAGGGAAAGCATTCAAATTTAATTTATTACTGGGGGTTTTAAAAACACTTATTTAAGCATCTAAAAGTAGGCAACGAAAAGGACTCATCCTAAGTCTTTGGGCTAATCTTGGTAATATAAAACCCCATTACAAATAATTATATATTTTATCTAATTTATTTAAATTAAATTTATTACAGTTGATTTTTAAAACACTCACTAAGGAGTCTAAAAGTAGGCAAGTATTTCTTTGGATTAAACATATATTGAAGCCTACTTGTAAACACCTTTATAAGTGATAAAACAAACCCTTCATACACAACTATATATTTAAGAAGTAAACAGCTCATACTTGATAACTTTTGGATTAAATAAATCTTTCGTTATCCTACCGTTTTGAATCCTCTGTACATGACCCGGATTTCCTGTTTGGTGAACTTGGTCTGCCGGCACAGATCCTCGAGGGCTACGGGAATGGGCTTAGGCACTCGTGTGTGTTCCAACTCATAGACCACCTCCTCGATGGGACTTTCCGGCGGTGAGGCCATGGTTGCTCCTGACTTGTTGTTGACTGGCTGCCGTGTCTAATTAATTTCGGTGCTGATTATGATTGGCGGCCTAATATCAATTTGCATTTGAGGTGCTCGGTTTTTAGGAACCCAAGAGCGAACTCATTATGCCTGAAATTCGCGGAGAGTATACAATTTCTTTGTCCTTTTTATGGGTTCTCCACCTTTTCAGCGGCTGCTGCTCTGAATCCCTTTCAGCGTATCCTTTTCTTTTTTTTGTGGTTTTCGGTTTCGGTTTCCTTTACGCCATTCTGCTAAGTCGCTAATGAGGCTACCATTGCTGTAACGAAATGGAAGGAGAGAGCAGGTGAGATAGATATTACACTGGGAAAATAACATGTAAGAAAAGAAAACATTCCTATAGGGGTGCTACAGAAATCGTTAGTGTATTGAAAACAATATTGCATGGCATTTAAGGTGTCTAAAAGTATGCAAGGAATAAATGAATAAATTACTTATTTCTTCTTGTGAGTTAAAAATATTCTGTTGCATACTTTAAGACACCTAAAATTAAATTTAAGAGTGTTTTCAAAATCCTATTCATTTATATGTCCTGATATTGATATATTATTTCGGTTATAAAATATATCTTGTCTTATAATCTTAGGGAAGACGCTTTTATTATATTAAAAAATATTAAGGATCTTCAGAAGTATTAAATGTGAAATTTTAATTTTTTTAAGAATAAAGGTTTTAAAATGTTTTGGGTCTTTAAAATTGTATAATGCAAACTATTTATTTTTAAAATATACCCAAAACTTAATAATAATATTTTCCGGCTCACATAAATCAGTGCTGAAAGCCAGTGCAAGGACACTTGCAGCTGCCCGAAGTGCAACTCGTAGCCGCAGCAGTGGGTATGGTATACCTTTGGGCCACATCCCCATCCACACCATTTATATATGAGCACATAGAGTATACGCCTTGTTGACTCCCACTGCCTGGGGCAAGATGCAAATGAAGATTATTATTGCGTGCCATAAATCAAAGGCGAATCGAGTTATGCGCGCTCTTTGGCGTACTTGCAGCACCTTTACCTTGCTGCAATTTCTGCAGGGCAAAATGGGTGGATTTTTGTGGGCGTGGCAAGATGAAATTAATGAGCACTTTGCATGCAAATGAATTGAAAGCGAATTTATTCCAACTGTGGATTTGCTTGGCTTCGACAGCATAAACACAATGCAAATCAGCTTAAGATATTGAGTTGCATTGTTGACGTTGTTATTGAAGTGTTTTAGGAGTCCCAAGGAAAACAAATAAACGCAATTCGAAATAGATAAGTCAATAAACGAAAGGTCACGTCCAATATTATATTATTATATTAAATATAACCTAGATTTAAAATGAAAAAGCAATTATAATTGGCTTACATATTAAATTCTCATGTTGAAAATATTTTTTGTTGGCTTGTTTAATATTTGCAGTCACCAAGTATTCAAACAATTTATCACAGGAAAATCAATAAAGATATTAGATTATTAAAATGGCCATAAATATTCATTATTCAAACAGAAACATTGACAGCAATTACTTGCTAATTTTTCCACCCATGCCAATAGGACTATTCGATTACGTTTATTGCTCATTCCTCATAATAAAAGCAATCCGCAAATAAAATCCCATAAATCCACAAATTGAATTTTCTCGCAATGACTCGCCTGCACCAGCTTAAATCAAATCTTCGGCGAACTTTTCCCGTTTTTACTCTGACAAATTTCAACAGCACTTCAATATTTATCAGCGAAAAGTCAAAAAGTGTGTGCTGCAGACTATTTCCACTCTATTTCCATTTTGCATTTCCATTCTATTTGCACCCACCCACCCACTCACACACACAAAACCCCTGTTAGCTTAGGGAGGGAAAACGGTGGAAAGGGGTTTTCCATTTCCGACGTCACGGCTATTTTTCAGTTGGAATTGATTAAGCGGTAGATAGACCAAAAACGGGGTCACTACGAGAGGAAATGGCTTTGACAGTTTTAATCCAAGTAAAAGTATTTATACTCCTTTTTCGCCGCTTTCTATTTCTGCATTTTCAAGATCGCTTTTCAACCACTCATCCTACGTTCCTTACACTTTAATCTAAAGGCAATTCGATCCATCAATTTCCGGTTTTCCAAATGTGTTCAAAGCAAATAGCGATTTTATAATACCCAAAAAAATTTATAGCATATTATATTGCAAATAAACCATATTACCTCTTTAAAAACGAGAAAATAAATGTTAGCTCATTTTATATAACTTTTAAAAAATCTCCCTAGACAAATCTTTTGTTCTTTCCCCTGGTACAAAGTGACTTGCCAAAATAAGAGTATCCTAAACAAGTTTGCCAAAAATTGGTTGGCGAAAAACTTAATTTCCCAGTAGCTTTTGGATTTTCAGGCTCTTCCGCACTTTCTTGCTGAAAGCATAAATAATTCATAAATCGCCAAAGTAAGTCTTAAATATTTATGCCTGCTTCCCGAGTCAAGCTCGAAGTGGAATCAATATCTTTAACCCCAGCGAGCTCTTTAAGCCACAAGCAACTGCTAAATGTTCTTTGCCATTAGCATAAATAGCATTAAAAGCGAAGAGCGCCATAAAACCGACTACAATGTCATACTTAGCAGCTCGAGCTGCAGCCAACTAATTTCATGACTTTATTTAGCACAAATCTCTGTGGCCCAGTCGATGGGAAAAGTGCGGGAAAATGACAGGAAAATGGGGAAAAGGGTGGGAGAGGGGGGAAAGTGGGGGAGTGGAAAGCGTGCAACGGCCTGCATTTTACAACATTTGAAACCATGTTGGAGTCACGCCTTTGGCACAGGCATGGTCAGGGTTTCCCCTAGTGCACTTCAGGAAAATATTTAATATCATTAGAATTTATTTTATAACTAGAAATAAACTAGAGATCCTAACTAAAAACAAACAATCAAGAAGAAAAGTCTTTATTTTGTGATTATTTTACTACAATTTGAATAAAGTTATATCTCTTGTGAAAATCTATTAAAATAACAATATGTTACTAGGCTGTTAAAAAAATATTTATAGTTTCGTATTGTAAGAACTATTGCAAGATACTGTTCTTTAGTACTATATTAAAACATTGATAGTTTCACTTTATTTTATTAGTTTTTTGCTGCTTAGCTTTTAGTTTTATGTATAGATTTTTTAGGTAAAATAGTATATTTTCTAAAAATCTTTAAGGATATTTTGAAACCTTTGAAAATATTTATGTGTTTTTAATTAAGGATCTGAAAATACTTTATATAACCAAGCAGTATACTTTTTCTCTCTGTGTAGCATTCCTTTTCAACACTCCCGGCCCACACACACGCACATGGTGCTTTCGAATGCAGTTTTCGGGGCTGTGTGTGGGTGCCTGTGCAATTGTGTGCCTGTGCATGTAAAATGTTTGTCAAATATCACGTATACGACATGTGCTTCCGGCCAAGAGCGCACGAACACCCTCGAATAACCGGGCAACGGAGCGAGTCGCGTCGATTCGATTCCTTTCACTGCCAGGACACAGCTAATTAAATATTAAACCAGGTCAGAGTGTAAACGCCATAATGCGAAAATCCTTATTAGCCAATTGCTGATTTGAGAGGGGAATATTTCTGGGAACACACCGAAATGCACTCAAGCCGGATTGCAAAAGGGATATGCAAATTCCCTTGGCAAGAACCGTATGTTTATTCATTTGTCTAATTGTGTTGTGTGTTGTTCTTGCCGCTGCCAAGATACCGGGGATTTCGAGGGACTTTTGGGGGGCTTTGTGGGTCCTCTGGTGGCATGTCAGGACTTAAACTTATAAATGGCAACGACAACAGCAGCATTCGAGGCAAGGACAAGGCTTGGCCGGGCCAAAAGCAACTTGCATGCAGTCATGCAATGCCACTCGAATGATGAAAAATAAAGCCAGAACTAAAACTAAACAAGAACGCACGCCAGGCCTCCCACTCTTTCTGCCAAACTGAAATTGTCAACAGTGGTTTTCGTATTTATACAAAAATATATTTGACATTGCCGCTGGGGGAAGAGCTCGTCGAACGAGTATTTATATATAAAATGAAATTATTCAGCAGCAGAGCCACTCCTAATGATTTGCAAATACAGCGAATGTTTTATTTAATGGGAAAATATACTCAATAAATTGATAGACGAGAACATAAATGATAAATGTGTCTAGGATATAAATGATTTGAATAAAAAAATTGCCACATAAAAAGAGATTGAATTAATCATCACTTACGGTTAAATAATTATTTATAGACCGCTTAAATTTGAGGAAGGTATAACATATTCATTATATATATTTAATTTGAGGTGAATTTTTTATTGTATATTCCTTAGCATTATATATTTAAGTAAATAAAAAAGGGTATCACTTCAAAAAATATTCTAAAAATTAATAAAAGGTTCCTAAATGTTTTTCTCTTTTAAAGTAAGTAATCTAATTAATTACTTTATGTAGCAACCATTTTTTAAACTCCTAAGTATAATTTTTCATTTTTTAAAGCTTTTAAAACCCATAAAAATACAAAATATGGATGCTTTTTTAAACATTTTAATTACAATTCCTATTGTTAAGCCTTTCCATGATGATCACACTGTGCGGGTTTCATTTTCCGAGGCGGTTCCATTGTCGTTTCCTGCTGTTTTCATGCCACTTTCACGGACAACTGAGACAGACTGGCACAATGAGAGGAGTGCCAAGCTCGAAAGACGGCTAAACGAACCCGGCGATATCTAAATAGGGACTTCCAGACCCGAACCGATATAACACGCAACTGCAAAAACCACAGAGCCACTACAATTTGGAGAGCATTATTAAGTTGCGGTCATATCTACGGCATATCTGGGTTTGTATATCATATTTTTTATTGGGGGCCGCGCTGTGAACTACAAAAATTGAATTTTTTGCCTAAGCCTTTGTTGGCATGCGCCCATAAGTTTGGTTCGTGGGCAAATCTCGTTGCGCCTACCAAATACAATAAATCAACGCCAATTATATGCCTTTTTTTAGGTGGCTCTCCTGGCTTTTCTTGCTTTTCCTGGCTTTCCACCAAGGCAAGCGATGACGACAGTTGATTTGGGGTTTTCAACACTTTTCAATCCGGCTTTTGGCCAAAATCAGGCCACCAATGTTAAATGGGCAAATAATGAACATGAATCTCCGTGTATCTCGTTTCGAAAGTGCCAAGTGGAAATGCATTTGCCACAGATTAGAGGGGATATTGTGTGCACTTTGCTACTGACATGAGTCTGCTGGGGATTCGAGATAATGGACTGATTGTT